TGTCGGACCATCGATAACCTATAGCAAAGTTCGATTAAAACGGCCAAAAGTCTTAAAATAAACTAGCCTCTTATAGATGTTTTTTTGACCCCAATCAAACAATCAAGCAAACAAACAAGCAAACGTATTTTATTTCGTATGACCCTCCCTTCAGTCGAGGGATCATACCATGTCCAAAACAAAGATTTCGTTCCTATCGCAAAGTTTGATCAAACCGGCCAAAATTCTTAAAATAAGCAAGTTCATTTCTGATTGACTGGCTCCCGACGAATCGTACCTCAGCCAAAGAAATGGGCTTCGGATTCGAATTCAGGGCCCTCGATAGCCTACAGCAAAGTTCAATCAATACGGCCAAAATTCTTAAAATAAGAAAGTTCGTTTCTGATTGGCCGGCTAGCGACCAATCAAACCTCGGCCACAGAAATTGGCTTCGGATTCGGATTCAGAGTCCTCGATAACCTATAGCAAAATTCGATCACAACGGTCAAAAGTCTTAAAATAAGCTAACCTCTAATGAATGTTTTTTTGACCCCAATCAAGCAAGCAAACAAACGCATTTTATTTCGTATGACCCTCTCTCCAGTCGAGGAAACGATCTGTATAATCTCAGTTTTCGGACTGAAATGGTTTTGAGCGAGACCAGAATTTAGTGCATCATGGTTGTCAGAGATTCAAACACGAAGAATTCGAATAAAATGACATAGTCATAAAAATGTCTTTACTATCTTTACTTCAAGTTAATATTCAGCATGATTTATTATAGGTTTTAATTTAGAAAAAAAGCAAGGAGTAAATAAAAGTTCTGATGGATTCTATTGAATGTTCAGAATCACAGAATTCTCCAAAGCCCACAAAGTGTTGAAGCAATCCACTAAATCGAACCAGAATAAGAAAGGAAGTATCTTACATTAATGAATCTCTGAAATTTTTACTTTGGTACGAAATAAATTTCACTTACTCAAACTTGTCAAGAAGTACAGTCATTCTTGGTAATGATGAAATGCGTAATTAATTCTTCGATACTGTTCGTTTGTGAGAATAAAAAAAAAAGAAGGTAAAATTTCGCATAGTTGCTTTTATACGACATTTTAAAAAAAGAACAAAAATATTGAGAAATGTAAACACATCATTCTGATTTCTTCCCGTTATTAATGACGCAGCGAGAGAACTGTTTTGACTAAATTTTGCAGTAAAAAAAATCATCGAAAAGATGTATAAATAAAGTAATAATATTGGTCATTACGTCTTTTAATAAAAAAAAACTCAATGTTCAGTTGTTGATTTGAAACTCGTAGTTTCAATTTAATAAAATATATACGTACACTGTTTATCGAATAGGAATTGAAGTATACATGTTTTTAAACAACTAGTAACTTCAGAGGAAATGTTCTCGTATTATCAAAAAACCGATGTTTTTTGTTAGTTAAATATAGGTATTTATAGTTTCAAAAATTAAATTTTCTCTTTTTCTTCTCTGTTCTATGTCTATTAGAATTGTTTAAGTAATATTTTATGTTCGAGTTTTCAATCAATTATTTTGACTATTTTTAGTTTCTTTCTCTTTCTTTTTTAATTGATCGATTGTTTTCTCCTTGAAATCTTCATTTTTCCTAGCTATAAGCTTCTCTTCTTTCTTTCTCTTCATAGAAATAAATAACAGTAAGAGGCTGAATCTGTGTAGAGACGTAAACAAAACAGAATAGCCTTGGTCTCGTCAAATACTGGAAAAAGACAGTCAAACTTATTATACTTGTACACCGCAATAAAGTAGAACAAGACAGCGTAAGATCTTTATACCTAATAATCTTTAATATCTAACGTTTATTTCAACAAAAGAATTATGGAGAGGTCTTGAAGACTATTTGGGGTTGAGAAATCCAATCATTGAATGTTGTCAGATTCTAACTTCATCTAATCGAATTCTATCAAATTAAGCTCATAATCCACTGATCTAGAATCCGACAAATATTAAACTAGGAAGAGGTCTTATCTGATCCTGCGACGAAACTTAAAAGATCCGACAAGATCGGGTTTATGATGTCAGTGATAAAAATCTAGCATCTACTATTACTATTCTTTTACTAAGAATCAAACACGAGATAAATCTAGATATCTTTATGAAAACGCAGTGCAAAAATATGACTACCTGTGCTGTCAAAATCGCGCAAAAATTGATGAATTTGTCGCGACTAATCACTCAAACTGTAGGCTTTTCCAATTTTTACAGAAAATTGCGATTATTTAAATAACATTGACGAGGAGCGAATCTAATCGTAACATTTGGATTTACGGATCGCCATCAGAGCTACTAGCCTGGTCTTGTGGCCTACAAGTCAAACCAAGCCGAAGTTTTTGGCGTGGATGACATGTAGTCGAATTTTTTGTGTATTGATCGATTTTGACGAAAAGTTGTATTGTAGGTTTAAAATACTTTGGTAAATTTGTTGGAGTTATAAGCTTTACTATAAACTCCGATGATCAAAGTAAAAGTTACATGCTTTAATTTTAACACAACCATCTGTTGCATATCCCGATTTCCACTATTTTACGTTTGTCTTGTTCTACACAGAGTTCTGAGCGTATCACTTCACTCTATACTGTTATGAATGACAGTAGTATATAGCGATGATATGAACCTTTCCTATCGATTCTAGCTTAGCTTTAACTGCAAAGATTCAAAGTAGCATCTAACTTCGAAAGTGTGAACCAACTCCAAAGGTCTCATATATTCTTAACGATAGATGATTCTTTTTAACTAATTGACTTTTGTTTGCAGTTTCACATAGATTTATAATTGAGCTAGAATATGTTTCAATAGACGAGAAGAACGAATATACAACAGAAATGGAGCTGACTAGAAATGCAATTTAACTCGATATCATTCAGTAGACGAAAATAACAAGCAAATGTTTTTGACTCACATTAATAGTATTTTTTGTTTTTCAGTTTGTATGATTTCTTTCTGACGATACACATTTTTTAATGTCATGCAACAGGGATGATGGAATTAGAACTGATTTAAAGATATATTCGTTTGTAGAGACAAGACTGTATTTTTTGTTCTTTTCTTTATGTTTTGATATTCTATTTAGTGGGAGCGTTTGCAATATCATTGTCTCAATTGAGAAGGGCTAAATATATGATTAAGACTATCGCGAGAAAATTAGAAAAATTTCTTACGTACTGTATATTGTGAATTGTGTTTCTAAATCTAGTGAAAGTATTCAATCAATTTATTTTGTTCTCTCAAAAGTTTTCAGGTCAAGCTAGGTCGAAAAAAGTGGCCTGTTGACAGCTCTAGTCGACATGAATACCATCGTCGCTTACCAACGTACTTATACATGTTTCTCGTGAATGACAAGAGAGATAATTTATTTATTGTAATATGCAGTAAATGATGCAAGTTTTTGAAATAAAGTATATGCTTATTGATCATTTTGTTGTCGACAAAGACTTTAATACGATAAAAAAAAAATATTAATTTTTGTTAAATGATATTTACTATTGAAGTTTTGTTGAAAAATTACGGACTAATCGCTATTTATTGTAATATTCAAAAGGTCAATGATTAATTTTTATTTGTCAACGATTTGTTCCGCTATATTAATAATCGTCGATAAATTGTCGGTTTTTTTCAGTTTCACATTTGATCGCTAAAAGTAACACGATTTGATGACATAAGAATTGACAATGGCATTTTATTATCTATAAGAAACAATACAATGTACATATACTCATCTTTGAGCTACCATTCATGAATGATTTATTTTAAAAAAAACGTCAATATCCTATGTAATTTAATAAATATTCTTATATATTTTCTGTAACCGAAAGTTTCGTGCTCTTCACTAATTAATAACAAATTGAATCAGAATTCTTCTCCAATAAAAAAGTTAATCAGAAGCATAACTAATGAGCAGTGTAACATCCTCCACCCGTTTCTCTTGAAAGTGCTGAATTAAGCTTATGAAGTGAATTTTATAAAAAAAAAAATTAGTCAACTCAGAAACTAAATATGCTTATTTCAATATGACTAATTGTCCGAAACGAGACAAATATGACATTTCTAAAGCCACAAGAAATATTTAAAAATTGTGCGTGAATTGAAGCGATACCTTTCTCATTAAATTTATTAAAATTAAATTATGAATAGATTTCGACAAAAAATTTTGATAGTTATAAGCTTATGCTTTCTACTATATATCTACCACTTCTCATCGATGTATAATATTCTATCTGAGGTTAAGACAATTGACAGGAAAGAAGACTAGATTTATCGTTTCAAAATCAACGTTTTTACTAATGTCTCAAAATCACCTAAAATTCAATACATCTGAACCAAAAGTTTTAATATTAGAGTAATCCTAATTTGAACTAATTTCTGACAAAACTTTAAAACGAGTTTTTGGTACACATATTGTATTTAGTTTGACACCTTTAAGCGACTTTAATGTCTTTATTGTTTGATATTTGTGAGAATATCTAATTGAGTAAACAATTCTCAGATCGCTCACATTAATTTACTTATTCTTGGATCAATAAAAATATTTTTACAAGTTTTTTTTTTTTATCACAAGAAAACAAAATTCTTATCATTAGATTAGCTATATGTGTAGTATAAAAGATTAAATCCATTTATCTTAATTTTATCAACACTAGTGGCTTTGTTTGGCGGCAACATAATTTTAAAATGTCTATCATTAAAAAAGAACCTTGAAAGAAAAATTTTATTATTTCAATATTTATGTACACATTCAACAGCACAACACAAATATGAAGGTTTGTAAAAAAACAATTGTGTTGAATTCGTTTTAAACGACTATGTATAAGGTGCGAAGAAATGTTTACATAGAACAGCAAGAAACAACAGTGTGCTGCTGAAATGCAAAATAAAAATTTGACAAAATATCGAGTTTAACTGTAGTGTGAGAATGATACAAGAAAAAAAATTTTTTTAATTGATCATTGGCAATAATATATTTCATTATCACAGGAAAACTTCAAGATTTTTTAGGTCTATTGTTATTTGCATTTTTAGTGGCTTTTATTATTGCATTCAGCCGCTTAAAATTGTTTTCCATTGTAACACGTTTTGGATGTCCTTCAGGAAGAATTGTTTTACAAATTTTCAATGCTCTATTAAGATTAGTTTGAGCATCCGGGATTGATCTTAATGCTACTTGAATTGTTGCTAAATTGTTGAGTACTGATGCTAAGGCAAGTGAATCTGGCCTATCATAACGTTCGAGAATAGCCATTGCTCGTCGAGCAAATTCCAGAGCTTTGGCATCATAACCACCTTTATGGTATATATTAGCTAGTACGGCTAAATTCAAAGCTAAATTCAAATCATTACCATGTTCAATAGATTCATTCAATTTTAAGGCTTCTTGCGCACGGCTCAATGCTTCCGGTAAATTTTCTTGTCCCCAATGAGCATTAGCCATTCCAATCAGATTGTTGGCAATTGATACTGGATTAGTTTCATTGGTATTTTTTCGTGACTTCAATGCCTGAGCATGATAATGTAAAGCTTTGCCATAATCTTGACGATTATGATGTGCAATTGCAATTTGAGTTAATGTGTCGGTAATATCTTCTCCTTTCTATGAAAAGTTAAACAATTTTTTTTCATATGTTCTTCACAAAAGAACAACTCGAACTATAACTACCTGCCGTTTGAGCTCATATTGAGTCTACTAGTATGTCTTGCTGAGACAAACAAAACTATACATGGGTTTATTCTCATGAGCCTTTGAAGCTGAGTTATGATACTTTTACTAAATGTTCGACTCATTTTTAGGTCTATGCCGAAAAATCAGAAAAAAAATAGATTTCAATATAAAGTTTTGCTCATATTTTATTCGAACGATATTATAATATACTGAAAGTTTCAATTAAAAAGGATATTACCCTGTCAGTGTGGTAAATTTTTAAATAAACTCGATTTTTGTACTGCGTTATGCTAATATCTTGTGGACATACAATATCTTGACAAAAGAACATTCTTCTCAGCTCAAATTATAAGGATACTCTGTGAATAATTGGACCTAAACTATAGACAAGATTTTACATCGAAACTTCCTTTATTTGGTTTTTCAGTAAATACCTGAAACTGAGTTGAAAATTCAGTAAAACGAATATAACTCAGTTCCAAAAGTTCATGAAAATAAACTCTTGTAGAAATTTGCTTGTCTCATCAAAACATTTTTGTAGGTTCTATATGAACTCAAACGGTGAGTTTCAATTTGAATTATTCCCTCGTCAATACAAAAAGATTATTTATGTACCTCTTCTTGAATTCTCAGAGCTTGATTATGAAACCTTGCTGCCAATTCATAATCTCCTTTTTTCTCAGCATATAATTGAGCAATGTTATTCAGAACACGAGGAGATTGATTTTTTGTATTTTTATATAAAATTATGGCTTGATCAACTTGACCACGTTGTACCATCTTTTCAGCTTGTATCTCGTCTTTGTCAGGTTCTCGTGGACTAGTATAAATTCCATAAAATATAAATACTTTATGATATAAAATCAAAAGAGTTTACCTAACTTTCTTTGGTGATATTTTAGATGCGTGATTTGTTGGGGGTGTTGATGCTCGTTTAATTGGTGGTAATCGTGGAGGAGGCTTTGGAACAACTAAAAGTTTATCAAGTAAATCTTGTATGTTCGGTGATTTAAATTTTTTTTTGTATTCTTGTGCTAGATTTCGTCCATCTTCATCTGCAGGTTCTAAATCTACGATTGTTACTGGACCACAACTAACCCATTTCACTCGAAAAGCAGTATAAACATCGAATATGACCAATGTCGACATATCTTTTCCAGGTAATTCACCAATAGGAACTGATGAATCATAATAAACTTTAAATAAAACAGGTTTAAGATCCGGACGATAATCTGGTGATCGAGCAAGTTCTAAAGCTGCTACTCTTGATGTAGTACAAGTAAAAAATCCTTTTGGACATATAAGTTTGCCCGTATGATTGATCAATTTTTCAAGAAGTTCATCTGTCATTTTTATACCTTTAAAAATTTGATTATTTGATTTAAGTTCATTTGATTTTTTTAAAACATGAGATACATCAATGATAAGAAAACGGCAAAGATCGATATATTTTGTATTACGTGTACTAAGTGCATGATGAAGAAAACGTGATGGAAATGGAGATGAAAAACACCATTGTAATGCATCATTTCTATCATAACCACAATCAAAATTATCGATAGAATCTAATAATTTTGTATTTCCTTTGTAATATTTTTCAGCCAATTTAACAAGTTTTTCTTTATCCGATGAGACATTGGAATTTGTTGATTTTATAAACTATAAAAAAAAAACAATCAAAACTATCGTTTTATTTTTCTGTTTTGTAATTTTATTTATTTACTTCTTCTTTCCATAATTGTGACCAGAGAAATATTTTCTCATATTCAAATGAAAAGAAATTCATTTGTGTTTGTTCAAACCATTCATGTGCAAATCTTATAGATTTGAGAAGCTCTTCTGGATGTACATATACACCAAATAATTTTGGAAATCTATTTTTGTCTATTTTTAAATTTGAATTTAATATAAATATGGCTTCAACAGAATCACAATCATGAACATCTTTAATCAATTGTTTATCATTTGTTGAAGAAATGAAAAATATTGTTTCACTTGAATATTTTAAAAAATTTAAACAAGCTACAGAATCTATATATATTTGAATATAATCATTGATTGCTCGAAGTGGACCAATAAAATCATGATTTGATGAAGATTGATGATCAAAATAAATAAAAAGAATATGTTCACCAACAACTTTTGTTTCATTATCATTATAGGAATATTCGATAGTGTAATTCGATTTCTTCATTTCATCAGTATTAGGTGATGGTCGATGAATTGATGTTCGAGATGGACTAGTATCTGATGGAATTTGAAAGCGAGTAACTGTAACACGTTTTTTATTTGGCGTACTTTTATCACTAAAAATGAGAATATATTTAATACTTTATCTATCAATTAACAAGATTTTTTTTTGTATGGATCATCATCAACAATATATTTTTTACTTACTCAATTTTTTCAAATAGAGCATACATAGCCGATGACAAAGACAATATGAAAATTGTTTATAGTCTTTTTTGTCTCGTAAAACGAAAAAAATAAATGAAATTTTGGTTACTTAACGTTTATGTACTGATTGAAAAGAACGACAAAATTTATCTTGATTGCACTGAATGAATATCTTTCTTTGCTGACTGGCATTTAAAATGAATGTTTGTAATGTTGAATTCGAAACAAAAACACATTGTACAAACACGAAAAAATAATAACATGTTCTTTTGTATGATTGATCATTTTTCATTAAATATCCTTTTATCTTCTTTCTTCAACTCTCTTCTGTTCTTTTTCTGTTCTGTTTTCGATATGTTGGTAGAATAGCAGCTAACAGCAAAACAATCGTTGACATAACCATCCATTAAATATATTCTACAGTTAAAGATGAAGTATATGTGTACATACACCCATTTGAGGTCATTGTTTTCTTTCTTTCTTTCTATTTCTATAAGTGAATAAGATTCTTACTATCAACTAATATCGTACCATATTACTGTTATTTCTTCTTTCCTATGTATCGATTTCTTGTACCATTGTTTCAAACGTAAATAACAAATTAGCAAAGCAAACATATATGAAGCTAAAATCTATTGGATACTTTTTAGACATTGTAACCTTCTGCTGCAAAATATATTGATTTAATAGTTCTTTTTTTTGAAAAAAAAAAACAAAATGAAATTTGACGATTTTTTACATACAGTTAATGATTTTGGTCGATATCAAAAGTTAAGATATTTTTGTATATGTTTGACGTACATGTTACCACCTGGTAAGCATATTAAAGATTCTAAGTTTTTGATTAAATTTTATTGCTCAATTAAGTCATGGTTTATACATGGTCATTTGCAGCTGCAACACCATTATTTCGGTGTAAACTTTATGAGAATGATACTGTCTATGATAATCATGTTCCACTTTTCTATAATCGAAGTCAACCTGATGAATCATACTGTAAAGTAAATATGAAAATATCTATTAAAGAATGTCATCGATGTTATATGAAAACAATATCAACAAATGGTTAAGTAAATATTCAACCGTGTGAAGATTATGTTTTTCATCGAAAATATTATCAATATACACTAGTTGAAGAAGTTTGTATTTGTATGATAAAAATAACAAAAACAAAATTCCAATAGATGTCTTTTTTTTCTAGTGGTTAATGGTTTGTGATCGAACTATATTTCGTTCCATAGTACAAAATCTTTTCTTTGTTGGTTACATGGTTGGATCATATATTTTTTGGAATCATGGCTGATAAGTATGTTGTCTTCTAATTCAAAACAAAAACGTAGTAAGAGAAATCCTTATGATTATATTGAAAGAAGAATGAACCAAGTTATACAGATCTTATAATATTGTTTGCTATTTTTCCACGATGTCGATGCTTCCAAAACCCATCTTATAAATTCTGGTAATAGTCCGAGATATATGCATGACGAGAAGAGACATATACTATACATGAAATCAAGAGCATAATCTTCTTGAAAATTAACCAAAAATTGTGGAGAATTCCATTGTTGAGTGACTTCTATGACAAGACTGAGTAACCATGCAACTAAATAAAGACTTGAAATACTAAGTAATTGTAATGTCATGTGTCGTTGTTTTTTTCAAGGAATAGTTTTTTGTTAATGATACTTACGTTTATTAACGCGTATTACTAATGATACATTAGTCAGAATGATGACAACAATTGATGAACCATTGTTTACTAAACAGTCGATCGTACTTAACACTTTATTGTAGACAAGATAAAAATTGGCATAACCACATAGATTTGATGTAAAATCCCATTGAGTATCATCAAGTGGATATAATACAATAATAATCATGTAAAAAATAATTGGATAGATAAAACAAAGTGCTAGAGGAACATAGTAAAGTGTACAACGTTTAAAACCACTGTGAAATATATTTATTTGGAATATGAGCATATACCATTGAATAGAAATGGAAGTCACAAGAAGTTCACTTATTAAATTAAGACTGTACTCGAGAAACGTCCACCAGGTACAATAAGTGGATGTTGCTGGATTAACATATCCGAAATAATAGAAATTAATAGCCATTGGCAGACCTATTACTAATTGAATAAATGTGATGACTATTAACACCGATAAAGCTTGATTTTGAAGAACGTTTAACGTAGAATGATATGTAATGAAAAACGCAAAAATTAACAAAGTAATTAAAATTGCTGGTATTTCCAATATGGTTAAAGTAAAAAATTTTATTCGATGAAGAACAAATTTATTGTCTTTGAACGTCCCCATGTTGCAAATGTTTACTGTAAAGGAGACGAAGAAGATTAGAGTAATGATTTCTTGTCTCAGAATTCTTTCATCAAATAATATATTCAACAAAAAGTTTATATTACAGTAGGGTTCTTATTAGTTTTATTTCAATAGAAATAATAGCTTTCAAAGTAATTTTGTTCATTCAGATACAAATAATAGGATTTTATTACACTTGAATTAAAATCTATTCTAACTTTGCTTTTGAACAACACTCAGCTCTAATGAATACACGCGATTCGATGTCCTCGAAAAGATGCCTTGCCATCAGTACATAACTCCGTACTTGTAATAAGGAGTACTATCAAACTTTCGAGATATAATGCAAAACTTCCAACATCGAAGAATCAAAGATTTATTTGTCTAGTCATTTACTAGTTTTCAATACGACGTTCCTTTGTCTTGGAGACAGTCACATGACATGATACATTTTTTGAACTTTAATTATTTCAAACTTTGAGACTACTAAAAGAAATGCAACAATAACAGTTAGTAGTCACTATTTCTAAACAAATGAGTATATATACTATGTTAGTTGTGAATATAGTGGATGACAGATAATCAATCGATAGTGTTCATCAAGAACATGTTGATAAACACATCAATAGACTTTTCTTAGTAACGAATTTTGCAATTGACACTTTTTTATCATGTTCTTTTTGATTTCGGTCAGTTGACTGATCGAAATCTAAATTTTCCGATATTTCGATTACAACGAGAGAAATGAACTTGATTTTAGTAAACTGTAAATATTTTTTGAAGAAAAGCGTTTTGTAATCAAACGTACATACGATTATTCATTTGATAATCGACATTCAAAGCTTCGTACCGTATTGCGTTATCAAACAAAAAGTCAAATGTCATCTAGTTTACTAATTATCTTTTGATTTTCTAAAGATATGGTCATCGTCCTATCATGAGTATTTGTATAATATTAATGCCATGTACAGGGTTTACTTGTGCTTTTTTTCCACAAAAAACATATTTGGATTTTGGCCAAGTTATTTAGTTTATACAATAAGTCGTTTTATATTGGCTTGTTCAACAAGAGGTATTGGTGTTACTGGATTCGTATTAGGTAATTGTTTTTTTTGGTAGAGATTAAAATATATTCATTATTTGAAAGTTATCTTTTTATTTAGCAACAGAATTAGTTGGTCCAAAAAGTAAATTTTTAACAGCAATTATTGTCCAATACTTTTTTGCTTTTGGTCAATTATTTTTGGTTAGTTTTACTTATTTTATTCGTGAATGGAGACTTCTAACAATAACTTTATCAATATTTACAATTCCATTTACATTTTTTTATTTGTGAGTCAATTAAGAAATATTCTTTCATTCTATAATTACATATCAGTATTATTAGTGTATTACCAGAATCAGCAAGATGGATGATTAGTAAAAGACATTATAAAAAAAGCAGAAAAATTACTTCGAAAGATTGCTGAAACAAATAAACGAACGTTTGATGAGGAAATGTTTCAAAATTTAACAAATTCACAAGAGAAAGTAAATAATACAAAATATTTCTCAGAAAAAAGATTTTTCACAAGGTTAAAATAAAAACAATCAATCTTTTGATGATAAATCATTACCAATTGTGAAATAATCCAATTTTTCTTTTACAAAAATTCAATATCAAATTGTAACTTTTAAAAAAAATTGTAAAAATAAAATTGGTGTTCGTTGATTGTGATTTATCGAAGTTCTTATAATTTCATACAATTCAAGAAGAAAAGAATGGCATCTTATTAGGATTGATTTGAAATGAAGTAACAAAAAAAAACTTGTGAGATTTTATTCTATTTTTTAATAGAATACAACGGATAAACCATTAGAAGTCGGTGTTTTAGCATTGTTTCAATCAAAAATTATGTGTATCATATCAATTAATTTATTTTTTCAATGGTAAATCCGTTTAGAATATTTCTGTTTCATATAAATTATACTATGTTATTAAGGTTTGTACAAAATTTAGTTTTCTATGGAATTTCACAAAGTACTGGTTCTTGAGGATTTAATCCTTATTGTAAGAATTTTAAGAGAAAACTTCCATTTTTTAATATTCTTATTTAATATTTAGTATCATTTACAATATCAGCATGTGTAGAAATATTATCGTACATAGTATTACATCTTCTACTTAATCGTATTGGACGAAAACGACCATATTTTATTGCTGTTTTTTGTTTTGCAATTATTGCATTATTAACGATTTCAGCTTAACATATGATATTAAAAAATAGTCAAGGTCAATTAAATTTTTTTCATCAATAAATTGATCTATTTTTCCTTTTTACAGAACAAAAAATACTCCTATTTATAATGAATGTATTATTAAAGTTTTTTGCAGCTGGTAGCTATGCTATTATTTATATATATGTCAATGAATTAATTCGAACAGGAATAAGAAATACTGGAATGGGTATTTGTTCAATCGTTGCACGTAAACGATTTTATTTTAAAATAAAACTTTTTTTTTTACAAAGTATTGTAAATAGGAATTGGAGCAATTGTTGGAACAACAAGCAATGATATTTTAGTTTGTATCGTTATATTTTAATAAAAGTGCGTTTGATATTTTTTTTTTTGAAATTCTTGCTATTTTAGACTCGACTATGGATTAATCTACCAACCGTTTTGTTTGGTATTTTATCACTTATAGCAGCTTTTCTTGTTTTAATGTTACCCGAAACATTAAATAGAACATTACCACAAATAATTGAAGATACTGAACAAATGGGTTTAACTTGGTATGTAATTATTATATTAAAAATATTTAAAAAAACTTTTCAAAATAAATTTAGTACTTGTATTCGTGACGATCAACGAACTTCAGAACAGGAAGGACAAATTAATATTAAGAATAACGATCATGATTTAAATGAAGATCGATTATTGAATGAAAATTTAAAAGGAATTAATGATTCTTAAATTTGAAAAAAAAATACAATATATGACTTAAAAAATAACATATTTATACTCTTTGTAACTGGTTTTTGTTTTCCAATAAATCTTAATAATAATAATTCAATTATAAAAGAATTTTATTAACAAGTTTATTTTATTGTCAACAGTTTATGTAGACTCTTCAAATCGAAACAATCATCATTTACTGAAGGACATTGTTTGCAATTTTCCATTTGGTCGATGTGTCTGATGTTAATTCAAATTGTGTATATAATCATTGAAAAGTCAATACCAAAATTCTTCATTATTCATCATTAAAGCTATTTTTGTTCTCATGATATCACTGAAGAATCAAGAATTGACACCGATAGGAATTCCTGGTTTATTGGAGTCCAAGTCATCATGAATGTCAAATTTGTTTCTATATGTAGAACATAATTTTTCAGTTGTACGAAAAATCGTATTGAAAATATGGTTCATAATTAGACGTCGTATTTCTATTTGTCTTTTTAGTTGGTCAAAATTTGTAGCATACACGTTTGTAATTACATAACAAACCAGTATTTTTGTCATTTTGACATGACGTTAAAACAGTTGTTACAATATCACTATTTACAATGTCAACAATAGTTGCATAATAAGTTATAAAAATGGACTGAATATTTTGTTCTTTCATTTCATACAATAAATTATTGACGATATCGAATTTATTCAATTATCAACACTTCTTGTATGTGGAAATAGGAATTGTAAAACTTCTATTGTTGTTATTCCTTCTATCAAACTTTGTGTCAAATGATCGATTTGAATCGATGTAGAAACGTCAAAATGAGAAATTACTTTGATAAATTCGGATTTTTCAACACGTGATTGCTCAAAGATATAAATATCAATAGTAACCGAAGTTGAAAAATCATAGATCTAAATGAATTGTGTTGTCTGGCTGTTATACCAATTGTCATGCCTACCTTTTGTAAAATGTCTTCCAATGTTGATGACTGAGTGAAAAATGATGTTTCGTTTTCTGTGTTTGTATCAGAGGTAAGAACTGGCACTGTTCTTTCAAGCTATCATGAGAAAAATACTCAGTATTGCTGATACAAAATAGCATCAGCGTAAACATGATTTTGGTCGATTGTGATTTCGTCTTGTCGGAATATCTTAGGTTGGCGATTTTTTGCATCCTTTTTCATTTTTATTTCATGGTCATTTTTTTCTGTAAAAGTTGTACAATTGAATGATTCTTAACTAAGGGTATTGATTCTATTAATATTTAGCTTGTTAATCTTAAAAAGATTACCAATCAAATGATGTTATCAAACATTTCAAAATTTAGGTCATTTTTCGGACTGACTTTGAAGTGGATTAGAACATGTTTGCTTGCTCTAGATAAGATTATATTTAGTTCTTTTATCGAAAAAAGTATGAGAATAAGGAGAAGACTCTCTGATGCAAGTGTTCAACACTATTAAAGATATGAATTATTTGACGACAGAAAGGTCAATCACACATATCTTGATCTTGTTCCTTTACGACTAGTCGGTCCTTTACGAAATACATTGTGATAGACAATATGGTCAACGAATACGTAAGACTTGATCTTAGCCAAATTTCAGAGAGCTTGAGAATAATTCATACTTCAGTGAATAACATTAGTTTTGCAATCATAATGAGAGTCGCTTAGCTTACATATGACGAACATAAGAAACGTAAATATCTATTTATTTATTATTCTCGTAAAAAAAATGAATAAACATAGATTCGAAAAAAAAATAACAATGATTATATGAACAGTGTATGAATTGACCTGAAAAGTGTGAAACCTAAGAAAGTTACTTAGAAGTATCGTACGTTGATTACTCAAATAAAGAATATAATGTTCGTAGAAGATTCAGTGATCTCTTCTGCATATAGGTATACAGTGTCGACTATTGATTTGTATTGACATATGTATGTCAATAGAAATGCAAATGCTGCTGGGCATTAGATCAATGTAAGAAAAATGTTTGGTTGTATCTAATACAAAATAAATCAAATAATCTATAGCGTAACAAAATAATAGTAACATTATTAAATGCAAGTTTACACAGCTAGTAGTGCTATTGTCTTCAAATTACTAGTTTTTTAAGAGCATGATGATCTGAATACGATCTTCCTTTAGCGTAAATTCATCACATTAGGTATATCATTTTATTTCTTTCTTCCCCAATCGATTTCAAATATTACAAAAACGATTAATTTTTTCAATAGCTTCTACCTAATGCATGAAGTTTGCTATCATTATTAATTGGAAATGATCAATCATGTGATTGACAAATATTTAGAATTTTCTTTCACGGTTTAATATGCAACTATATAACTTAACCTCAGGACAAAATCATCAAATCAGAAAAAATGTGGTAATAACAATATAACTGATACCAATATTAAACTTGGGCTCTGAGTTTCATCGGTGTGGATATAGATCTCTATGCGCAGTATAGGCGTTGGTGTGGGTAACTGTAGTTGTGATTGTGAACGTCTTCTCTTCATCCATAGTCACACCAAGGCACACATATCTATACACTCATACATATATACGCTTATAGTTTTAAACAACAGACATTTTTTTCGATATTTCGACTTTTGACGTTAGCCAGGTGATCTACCTGTCAAGCTTATTCTATAACTATTTATCTACGCACCCAACTAAATATTCGCCTCATTGAATGTCTAACTATACATTTCACTATGGAATTATCTAATTAAATAGATGGTAAATATAAATATGATTAAAAGATAAAACGTTTAAGTACAAAAATGTTTTTCTTCCAAACCTTATCATTTGATAATTTTACTTTTGACATTGGCTGAGTAAATCTATTTTGCTAGCTCCATAGTTTAGCAAGAAATTTTTTATTGGTAAGTAATTTATCAGCCAAACTTTTTTGACGAAGAGTCGGCTATTGACAATTGTCATTATGTTCAAAAACCATCCTTGGACAATAACATTTGGAACATCTAATTATTATCACTGTATTTAAAAACTCCAAGGGTAGTAAGTGTTCGAATCGTGGGCGATAGAGTCTTCTAGGGTAAGATTTTTTGGTACCCTAACTTTCCCCTGCTGTACAGATTTTTTATGCCACACCCTAATATATCCTCAGATTTTTATATTTTGATGAATGTTAAGATGAAATCTTGTTCACTATATTGCAGCATATCTTATTGATTTTCAACAAAAAGCAAATACAAATGTATCATATATTTCGAAAATTTCGTAAGAATAAAATATCGTTAACAATATCGCTACCTAAATTTTGTCTTCTCTCTTCCAGTACTTTCTCACTTGCATTGCAAATATATTCACTTGTCACTGAGCTAGCTGGAATTCCCGATAGCGATTGTGCTAATACACTAAATTGTGAATAACTCAATGATCATTTATCCCACTATTGCAATACTGATTCTTTTTTAACAAAACTTAATTTTTCTCTAGCATAAATATAAAACTCGTCTTATTCATTTTCTTCATCTGATGCCGGTTCATTTGCATTTGCAAATTCCGTTAAAACATCATCTTGTGAAATTTCGAGTTGCTTCTTTTTTTCTTTCGTTTCTTTCACCATGTTAATAACAATTGTTGATGATTGTTGTGGTTGAATAATTTCAACAGTTTTTAACATAAAAAAAAAACTTTCAGCTCTTATTCTTGAAACGGTAATAGTATTGAATCGCTAATCTCAAATTAGAGATTAGAAACTAAATTTAAGGTATGCAAAAGTTTCATTGTCTAGAGAAATAATCTGATGTTCACTGTTCGAGTACCTAAGTATCTAATTTCCATGCAAAAGATATTGAGTATCTGGATTCAGATTTGGAGCTTAACATATATCTCAAGCAGAGAAAACAGAATTTAAGAAAGACTTCTAATAATATTATTTTCTCATCAAATCTGAAAATAACTTTAGCAATTTTTGTTCAAAGAAAACGTACTCGGAATAAGAATTCTACTTCATAAGTTTTCAACATACAAGAAGATTCTTCGCTATCGAGTGCAGAAATATTCCAATTTCATGAATTTGAGTTAACCAAATCTTCGTGTTTATATGTATATTCTAATATCAATTACTTCAGTTGTTTGATCGGTGATGAATCATTTGTTTTGATTTCACAATAACTTTTTAGCTTATTTATCCATGACAAAACCAAATGCAATGTTGGTTCTTGATCAGACGATAAC